AAAGTTTTGTTTGTAAAGTAAGCTTTCCTTGAACTAAACATCTTGTATGAAAAAGGTTTTCTCTTTGAATAGTGTCTTCCTCTTTGACTAAGTTCCCCAACATCCTCCTCACCATGAGTAACTCTCCACTAGGTATTTCTTCTTCTTCTTACTCATCATACTCTTCAACATTCTCACCATCTTCCTCTTCAACAACTACTTCATTTTCCTCCATAAGCATAGTTCTCTTAGTTTGACATTGAGATGCAATATGTCGTTGTCCTTGACACTTAAAACATATAGTTTTTTGTTAGTTGAAACACTTTAAAAAGGTGTAATAGTTTTACCTTCGGTTTCAACTGTGGGATCCTTAGATGATGAAGATGAAGCACCCTCCTTCTTTATCTTGTCTTTCCAACTTGAAGAATTGAAAGTGGTGGAACTTTTCCTTGCTTGGCTCTTTCTTTTGAGTTGTTGTTTTACCTTGATAGTTTGGCGCACTAAGTCTTCTATGTCCATATAATGTTCCAGCTCCACTATGTCACTTATGTCATGATTTAGGCCGTGAAGAAATCTATCCATGGTTGCTTCATTATCTTCCACCACATTGACCCTAATCTTTGCAACCTCTATCTCCTTGTAGTATTCATCAACACTTTTGGATGCTTGGGTGAGTCTTTGTAATTTGTTTTACAAATCCCTATTGTGATAGAATGACACAAATCTCCTCCTTGTGATTCTTTTCATCTCTTCTAAAGTTTCAATGGGCGGTTCATTATATCTTATCCTTTCTTTGACAAGTTGATTACACCACACCAAGACATAATATGTGAATTCAATGGTCGCAACTTGCACTTTTTTAGCATTAGTATAATTGTGACAAGTAAATATTTGTTCAATTTTTGTTTCCCACTCTATGTAAGCTTCTGGATCATTCTTTCCTTTAAAGGGTGATACTTTAATTTTTATGCCACTCAATCTATCCTCCCTAGGCCTCTCCTCACGCGTTCTCCTCCTCCTTTCCTCCTCATCACCACTAGCTACTAAATTTTCTACTCGATCAATCCTCTCGTGTATCCCATCTAATTCTTCTCACAACATTCTTTGCATTTTTGTTGCAAGAGCCTCCAACAACAACCTTTTTGGTTCTGCTTGTCGTGGGCTTCCTTCCTCCTCATCTGACATGATTATCACAAAATTAATAAAGAAAAAAATCTGTCCTCACGTGTTTACACTCAAATTTGATTTTTTTTTTTATAATGAATACTCTTGCATTTTTCCACTCTATTACTCTTTTCAGTTCTTTAAAGAAATCAAATTCAATCACACAAGAAAAACAATTTTCAAATGGTAAAACACACAAAGCTTAGAAGAAAACAAAGACAAAAAAATAACTCACAAAAACTAGAGTGTGGCAGGAAATAATTCTTGAATAATCACAAGTTTCCCAACTAGAATATTTATTTATAATTTTTTTCATTTAATTTTTTTTATATATTTATCTTAACACTTCAAAACAGAAACTAAGAAGAAATATGATTTAGATTTACAATGAACAATAATCTTATTCAAATCTTGCTCTGATACCATCACCTTTTACTACAGTTATTTTATACAACCGTAAAGATATATTACATGCTACTTTGTTTTTACCACAACTATCTCATCCGTTGTTACGATCAATTATTATTTATTGTGGAATCATTCTCTCAAAAGTAATAAAATGTTTTTTTTTAGTAATAGAATTCTAAATCATCCTACATCGCCTTTTCTAAAGCAAGGCCAAATTAAAAAGACGGAAGTCACAAATTCTCAAACTACCTTTGGCTTAGGCTTATAGATTTCATACCGCCTAACTCAAAACAAAGGTCTTAGACCCCTAAACCACTATTCATTAGTAACTTTTTAAAATTAAATTTAATGATATGGCATATATCAGTTCGATCAACATAAAAGATTGTTCAAAAATGTATTAAAGTTTATACATTTAAAGTTATTATTGTATTTTAATTAATAAAAAATCATCAATAGTATCGATCTCTGACCCTTACATATTCCAAAGTATATATAAGTTAGAAATCAACATTTTAAATTGATTTATGTTGATCTCTAGGCCTTACACATACAAAGCATGCGTTAAAATTCATTCTTTTAAATTGATGGATGTTAATTTCACACAATTGCACATGCAGATACACAATTGCACGTAGCCACAATATTATTGATATGATAGTCTCTACAATAGCAATAGAGTGCAATAGTGGTGTCATTTAAAACCATATGTGAAACCCCATCAAGAACCCTATTAGACAATTTCTGCCATATTCCTTTTGTTTTTTTGTACTAAAGTCAAAACTTCATAAATAAAATTTATAATCTTCTTCTAATGTAATGAAAAAATTTAAGTCGTCTCTTAATTGTGTATTTCAAACAACTTTTAATCGGTATTCATAATATAATAACTACAATGTGTATCACAACAATTGTTAGCGGTATAAGCTGATTGGTTTGGACTGATTTTTCATTAAAAAGAGTTTGAACATATGATATTTTCATTGATTTGGTTTGGTTTGATTTTTAATATTTTTTAAAAATAGAATCGAATTAAATTACCGAGTTGAGTTCAGTTTTATTTGGTTTGGTTTGGTTAATCAATTTACAATGTTTTTTTTACAGGCATTATATTCGCCAGAGTATTCTCCACTATTGTATTTTTCGATATATTTTATGCTATTATTTTTTAAAATAATACATTTCATATAATTTATTTCATGCTCTATTTTTTCAAACAAATTACAAATTATTTTTAATTCATTTTTCGAAACAGTAACATAATTTTTATTGCATCGTGAAATAAGTTCATTGTATAAAAGTTAACACCTGACATCAGAATATTAGAAAGGAATTTAAAATTTTAACAAATAGAGCATAATAAAACACACATCAATTAACATGTTTCACACCTCAAGCATACATCAAAACTATTTTATAACAAGATTAGAAGGAATTTTGTTGAAGAAAAAGAAACAAAAAAATGTAAAAAAATGAAAACTAACAAGGAGAACTTGAACATGAAAAAGACGATCATAACATATCAGAATGACGGTAGTGAAAGCAACAATGGTGGCGGATAGCGAGAGCAGTAGTTCAGTGAAAGCAACTTTTTTGACTTATGATTTCTACTTTCTATGTTTTGGAGTTTAGTTCTAGATGTGTGTTTTGCTGAAAGGAAGGAAATGTAAACAGAGATGAAGAATGATTGGACGGATAAAAAAGATGGGCTTAATGATGAGTGAAATAAAAGATTTAGAGCATAATTATTTTCATTGGTTTGGTTTATCAGTTTGACGGTTTCTATAAACTAAATTCGAGAACCGAACCAAACCACATTGCTTTTCGACTCGATTTTAGAACCGAACTGAAATTCTGGCACTAGCAAAACATGTTAATACTGATGTCTCAACATCAGAACACAATGTCAAGACACGTGTTAAGACATTTGTTGACAGACAGAACAAATATATCAAAACTGTAACTTATGCAAAAAATAAATTGCAAAATCATAAATAACAAAGCTGATTGTTAATCCAGTTCAGTGCAGCGTCACCTACTCTGGAGGTGATCAATCCAGGAAGGAAATTTACTATGACAATATTAGTTCAAAGCCTAAACAATCTCAGTTTACAACTTCTCGCTTAATCACTACCTTGTGCAACTTCTACCTATAAACCTTCTAGATATGAGATTCCCCTATCACTTCATACCAATCACCTCAGTGATAAAATACAGTAACAATCCTAGTGACTAGGATAAAAAATCAAAATATTACACTTCCAATAAATAATACTTAACTCTTTGCTTAAAAGCTCATGAGTGAGAATAATACTTAGTTTTGCTTAAAAGCTTCAACCAAAAACAATAACTTGACAAGCAATCAAGTAACAATCAGTCCACCTCACTGTATCAAAAGATACAGGGGTGACTTACAAAAACACAAGAGAGTCTCAAAACCTAAGACTTTAGACTTCCCCTAATTTTACAATTGTGAAAAGTTAAATTACATTAGGTCTAAGTTTCTCTTTAAATATCCCTCAGTAATCCATGAACTTCGAAATCTTCACCCAAATATTTCTTGATCCACAAGCTAGGGATGCACCAATTATGCAGAAAAATCTCCTTAAATCTTGAAACAAAATATTAAGTTTCCTAAATTGTCTCAACATCCAATTTTAGAAACTTATGTACAGCTGGAGATTAGATCACTTGCTCTAGATTAAATCTTCTTGACCTGCACAAATATCTGTGATATATCCAAAAGAAATATCACAAAATCAAATCAAACCTATCAAGATTTATAACAGTTTGTACTGATGTTCTGGTTTAGCATGTCACAACATTTGTCTTCAATAAAAGCTAACACTCTACTTTATCAGTTTGATCAAGATGTTATGGCATCTTGTTCAACATCTGTCATGAACCATGTTTTAGCAAAATTCTTGTCAATCCTAAAATCATGGATCTAACACGAGCCAAAAACAGTTGATTTTATTTCAGGTTGATTTAGTTTATATTTTTGATTTAATTGATTTTTTCTGATCCATTTACACCTCTAACAACTACAATGACTATAATAGTAACATTCCAAATCAAATCCGAATCAAATCCGTATTGACGATCATAATCGTAATTTAAAACTATTATACACACAAACTAGAATACATTATTAGTTTAGTAAAAAAATAAATAAGAATCCTCTTGAAAATACAAGGGGTTTGAACTTGAAAACACGTTTGTTTTTTTATTTTATTTATTTTAATTTCAGTTACTAATTAATTAGAAGCACTTTTTCCACGAGTGCTATCATATTCAACTTAATTATCTCCAAAAGGCACCTCTATCAAGCAACCAAGTTAGTCGGGCCTACAATAGAAATGACATAAATAAGATGCTTACTACTCTTCTTGAACAACCACCAATTCATTAGACGCACCATCTACAATATTACAATCAAACTACAAAGAATGGCCAAAATCTACCCTAATCAAGAATCCACAATACAATCTCAGTCTCATGATGATCAGTGTCTCAGTAATAAAAGAGAGAGATATACAATATGGATGAAATCACTTGTTCTTCACTCAAATGGTTGCACTGTCTATGACTCAAATGGTAAGATTGTTTATAGAGTTGAGAACTATGATAGAAAGGGTGGAAGAGAAGTGAATCTGATGGATCTAAAAGGGAATGTTGTGTGTACCATCAAAAAGAGATTACTAGCTTTTCGATGTTGGGAAGGACACAAAGAGGAGCAACCATGGTTTCAAGTTAAAAGATGTTTTACAGGAAAAATAGGTTGCACCATTAAAGTGGGATCACAAGAATTGTGCATAGAAAGAATGAGTATTGGAAAATCATTTGGTTTTCGGATGGTAAACAAAAACGGAGGAATCATAGCAGAGGCAAAGCAAAAACACTCTTCATCAGGGATTCTTCTCAGTAATGATGTTTTAACTTTGAATTTGGAAGGTGGGACAGATCATTCTCTTATAATGGCTCTGATTACAGTATACGGACTCATATGCCGAAAAATGTAGATATCAATTTCATATATGACAGATCTTATACTCAAATCAATACATTCGGAGAACATGTTTCAGCAAAAAAATTCCCTTTCTACAAGATTACCATAGTTTATTGTATTGTAAGTATTCTAAATTTTTGTTTTGACAATTTTTTACATAGGGTAAATTTTCTAAAGTTATGTAATTAGTGTTTGGCAGGTTTGAAATAAAGCTCAATCATATTATTAAATGTGATTCAAGAACAAAGGTGGACAAGAAAAAAACAACATATGTGGCACAAACCCCACAAAACAACCAGCACCAAACACCAATAAAAACACAAACTACCCATTTTTAACACCAGAAAGGCAACATCATACATACATACACGTCATATTGTGTCTTTTAAACACCCAGACCACAAAATTTAAATTATCAAAGTTATGTTTTTTTTTTCTTCCCATTTTGTCATTTGTTTTTTCTTTTTTCTAGGACCAGACAATATTGACATGTGAACACATGTGATATTTCTAGATGCCAATGTAGTCAATATTGCATACATAAAACATAAATATTTTTTTTTGGATGGAAGTGTTGATGTAAGTCCTAGAAGTCAATATTTTTAGTATTTGTATTGAATTATTTATTAATAATAAAAATTATTTTTTATAATGTTTGCTTTTCTAAAATAATAAAATCTTTAGAATAGTTCGTTTGTTTAATGAAATGTTAAGTGTGACTTAATCATGAGATCCAGTTAAATATAAGAACAATATTCTTAAAATATTTGTAGTCGAGCTTTATTATGAAATGGAATAATATTAAAGCATGAAAATTATTATGTAGATAGACCGATGATCACATCTCATGGATCATGGATAAGGAGTTATCAAATCTTGACATATTAGGAGTAATATTTATACTAGATTGACCCGCTATGAGAATACTACATAGAATGTTATGCAAATTGTCCTGAGTTATTCACATGGTGATAAGTGGTGTATAGCATCCTTCGACTTGAAACCACTATGGACGCTAGATGTATAGTCGAGTGCTTTATTGCTGATCAAACATTGTCCGTAATTGGATGACCATAAAGACGGTTGATGGGTGTTGGAAGTGATGTAGCGGCAAACAACAAAAGTTTTGAAAATATTTATCCAGGAAGTTATTGTGTCCACAGATATTGGTTATTGATTTTCCGTTCGACAAATTCTCGCGTTTATGAGTTTGGGGTTGAATGAGTTTTCTAAAAAAAATGTTATTTACAGAAAATGAATGTAAACAAAAGGAAGAACTTATCAGATATGCATATATACTATTTCCCACTTACTTAAACCTATCGACCTGTTACACTTAACCTTACATTACTCATCACTGTCACTACGTATCACTCACAACCTAAGTCATTTCTAATGCAAATTGAGAGGCCTGCCGCATCACCTCGATAGCGATCTCTCAACCACCTCGACAACACAGAAGTTAACTGTGCTCGCCTGTATCGACGATCTCTCAGAGCAACACAAATAATACAGAGGCATTAAGCTTTGATACCACAGTAGATTGACAACTCTAAATCTATCTCTAGAATTCAGAAACTAACAGGCTTATCATCCTAGATAAGAACCTAAGTAGTATATGTTTATAACAACTTAAATCCCTAACACGGAGTAAAAATCCAGGACAACAATCCACAAAGATTCGTAAAGCATGTTTTATATAACGCCAAGGGCGACAAATATACATCATTTAAAAGAAAATATACATACAAACCCAACCATAGAAAATTACACCAAGAGGAAGGGAAATGAACCACAGATCTACCTGTTTGTCAGCTTTGATCGAAGAGTAATCCACCCTGGATCATCCGTATGCAAGCTCCATAGTTATTATCTAAGCTAATCCTAACAAAATTTACAAATTGATGGAGTTAGGAGCAAAAACTTCCCCAAAACCATAACCTAAAAGTGACTGAAAATGAAAATATAAAACAAATCTCAGTAGACCGCGCTTAGCGGCCTCAGCGCGCTAAGCGGACTGAGCAATATTTACACACTAAATCGACCTAAACCGCGCTAAGAGGGCTTCAAAACTTTGGTTCAGCCAAAACAGTAAACGCAAGCAGCACGCTACAAAATGTGTTGAGCACCACTCGCGATTAGCTGCCTCTATGCGCTAAGCGGGCTCTCTTGGATATCAAGTCGCAAAACTGATCTTTTATTCCAAAAACGCGCATCTGGAGTCGTGCCTTCGACACCTTATTCCTCAATTCTCCAAAATATAATAAATACCTACAAAATAAATGGAAAAATATCAAACGGTACTCTATGTACAGAAAAACACAAATAAACATAAATTAAACTTATTTACACAAAAGTCGGGATTATTCAACAATATTACAAACAAAAGGTCGATAAGTGCAACAAAAAGTATATACAAAAATAACTACAATTTGCACTTATCAAACTCTCTCTAACTTAAACTTTGTTTGTCCTCAAACAAGGCTAAACAACTCAAAGAACTAAAAGTAATAAATCAAAGAATCATGAATCAACAAGATTTGAAAATTGAAAACAAATGCAATGGCTCAAATGAAAAACAGTAAACACGAAGAAATATACTTACCACTAAACTACAACGATAACATAAACATGAAACGAATGCTAAATACCAAGAATGTGACAAACATTCTAAAACAATACTAGTTCACAAATGAATCACACCTAGCAAACATAATCATCGGTAGAAGAAAACACAAAAATGGGGTATTTTCACTCATCCACAATCTTGCAAACAATAGACTAAATTATGAATTCCTCCAAAAACTCATATTGAAAATACAAAGGCAAGAATCTCAAGGGCTTTTCAAGGTTGTAGCATGGTCGGGTGAACAAACAAGGGATAATTCCTAAGGCTAATCGAAACAAAAACATGCCTAAACTTAAGGGAGTGATCAATTCACCAAAATTTCAAACAATAGAATTTCTATCAAACTTCTTCTTTATCTCAAGTGTTACACAAAACACACATCACTTATTAACACAACATTATTCACACTCTTTTTGTTTTTCTTTTTCAAAGCTTTTTCTCTTTTTTCCCTTTCTTTTTTTCTTCTTTCTTCACATTTTTTCTTTCTTTTCTTTTCTTTTTCAACCCATAGCAATCACAACATAAATACGCAATCATTTTTCTCCCTAACTTGAAGTCAACCATCATCATAATGTGAATACTCTCTATGTTTTCTAAGACAAAGTAAAAATTCAACATCCATGCAAAAATGGAAACTAAACACTCATAGACAAGCATTTAGAAAAAAAACAACATGGATATCAACAAAAAGCTCAAAGGGTTACAAATGATCACACACTCACAAGGTAAATTGACTATTTGGCCAAGGAGTGGTTATGCTTAAAATGGAACCAAAAAATGCCTTGATCACTTTCTTGCATTCATACAATCAACACAAATAAAATATTAAACATAATAAAATCTAGTTAAAACAAGCATTGTGGTCTCTAGCATATGTGAACAATGGAAAGCTACCTCACAAAAAAGGGTAGGAACTAAAGTGATTCACAAATGAACAAGTGTACAAAAGAATGAATGACATAAAAATTATAAAAATTATAAGTATCATAAATATGTTATGGTATGGAAAGAGATAAACACATACCTCGAGCGTGTAAAAATTCTCGCGTTTATGAGTTTGGGGTTGAACGTGTTTTGTAAAGAAAATGTTATTAATAGAAAATGAATGTAAACAAAAGGAAAAAGTAAGGAATAACTTATCAGGTATGCATATATACTACTTCTCACTGACTTAAACCTATCGACCTGTTACACTCAACCTAAAATTACTTATCAATGTCACTACGTATCAATCACAACCTAAGTCATTTATAACCAAAATTGAGAGGCCTACTGCATGACCTCGATATAAATCTCTCAACCACCTCGACAACGCAAAAGTCAACTGTGCTCGCCTGCATCGACGATCTCTCAGAGCCACAGAAACAACACAGAGGCATTAAGATTTGATACCCAAGTAGATTGTCAGCTCTAAATCTATCTCTAGAGTTCATAAACTAATAGATTTATCATCCTAGATAAGAACCTAAGCAGTATATGTCTATAACAACTTAAATCCCTAACACAGTAAAAATCCAGAAAAATAATCTACAAAGATTCGTAAAGAAAGTTTTATATAACACCAAGGGCGACAAATATATATCAGCTCAAAGAAAATATACATAGAAACCCAACCATGGAAGATTACACAAAGAGGAAGAGAAATGAACCACAGATCTACCGGTTGGTCAACGCCGATCGAAGAGCAATCCACCCCGGATCATCCGTATGGAAGTTCCATAGTTGTTATCTAAGCTAATCCTAACAAAGTTTATAAGTTGATGAAGTTGAGAGCAAAAACTTCCCAAAAACCATAACCTCAAAGTGACTGAAAATGAAAATATAAAACAAATCCCTGCAGACCGTGCTAAGTGGGTTACGCGATATTTACACACTAAACCGACCTAAACTGCACTAAGCGGGCTTCAAAACTTTGGTTCTGCCAAAATACTAAATGCAAGTAGTGCGCTACAAAATGCGCTAAGCGTCACTCGTGCTTAGAGGCCTCTGCGCGCTAAGTGGGCTCTCCTGTACAACAAGTCCCAAAACTGATCTTTTATTCTAAAAACGCGCATCCGGAGCCGTGCTTTTGACACCTTATTCCTCAATGCTCCAAAATGCAATAAATACCTTCAAAATAAATGGAAAACATCAAATGGTAAACTATGTACACAAAAACACAAATAAACAAACTAAATATATTTACACAAAAGTCGGGATTATTCAATAATATTACAAACAAAAAGTCGATAAGTGAAACAAAAAGTATATACAAAAATAGCTACAATTTGCACTTATCAATGGGTACTTCACAAAGCATGCTGAGGGACATGAGTGACCTGGATTGAATTTTCTCATCCTGCATAACAGGATAAATTTCTAAGGGCCTAATATTGAACTAGACA